CCATTTCATCACTCGCGCTGGCGATTCGTCTTTCCTTAATTTATGTGCTTTTAAAAATTTAACCCGTATTTTCCTCAGAGTTGGTATCTTGCAGTCTGGACCGGGCTGTTAGTGTCCCAAGGCTATGGGGGACCTATGTTAGGATGGTATATAAACCGGTGTGGAGCGACAAATGGTAATTCCTCGCTTATTCCGCTTGCGGTCCGGTTACCCACAACATGCCGGACACGACCAGTACGGGATCAACGACGGCACAGCCAACTATGCCGAAGCCAAGTACCTCATCCAGTGGTTGTGTCAGGTGTCAAGTAAGACGGTTTTGTGGTATTATGTTTTGTTGGTTCACAGAATACATCGTCGGATGAACGCAACATAACCAGACAGATGCTGAAGTACTTTCCCATCCGTGAATGTCGTTCCTTTGCGGAATTGGAGTCCAAGCTGTGGGAATTCTAACGGGGAACGGGCACGCGTTATGCTCTCCAGCACAGTTTATCGGCGGCAAAATATGGACAGAATGTCGGTGAAGTACTCCAGCTATCCGTCTGTTATGTGTTTGTGGGCTACAAATGCGTTCACACACAATCACACTGGAACGCTAACAAAAAGGGTCGTCGGTATGTTGATAATTATATGCACAATCATTCAACTAACTTATATTCAGGTACGCTGATTTCGAATGTTGGTTGTTCATGCATGCCGTTCACCATGAGGGTCGCCTTGTACTCATCAGTCTTAATAAGCAGCATTCGCATGACCTGCGTACGTCTGACTGGCAAGCGTACGCTGCAAACCGGCATTTAAATGCCCAGCAGGAACGTGCGGTGTTTAACTTGTGGAGGTGTTTTAAGTCCTCCATGGAATCCGCCTTTATGTCCGGAAAAACTATGGAATAGACTCAACCGGTGATGATGTGTGGGTCCTGAGCGATAGATGGCGCCTGTTTGTCATCTCCGGGGTATTCGAGATGCGTTGCGTTAATTTGGACCCATGGTTGTGTCGGTTTGCGATGATGGTAGTTAGAATGTTCTATCATTTACTTTTGTAAAATGAATAAAATGTCACTCTTCCTTGAATCACGGGAACCTCATCACGTTGTCACGTAATGACTGGCTACACAAGTAAAGACTTTCCAGATAGTAGTTTTAGCGAATAACAGTGGAAAACCCCTATAAAAATTGCTTATACAATTTACACAAGCAGCAATCCGTGCGTGGTTCAGAGGAAGAATAATACCAGAAGTTGAGTCAAAATTTCTGAGAAGCCGTCGCCCAAGTACCTGGTCAACAAATGTGGCCATCTGACGTGAATCGCGTGAGTGAGATGCGATCGTCGCTGTCTTCTGTTGAATTGTGAGCTGTTGCTTGGACGCTCGTGGTTAAACGGTTGTGTTAAGTGACTGGGCAGGGGGTCGCGCGTTCGAAACTCACTCCTGAGAATTCGTGACAAACGCAATGCTGGCGACTCCCAATAAAAATGTGGAGTGTTTCTGGGCTTCATAGTATAGATTGAGTCTACTGACGTGACAAGAATTCCATCATAAAATAGTCAGATTTGCAAACTGCGTTGACAAAAGCTTAACTGCGATCGTCGGAAATGTTGGCCTAGGTTCTTACTTATATGTAACTATTTATATCATGTTGTAGTGTTTCACTGGGAACCAAGTATGTAACTGTGCATAAAACGGTTTTGCCCTCACTACTCGATGTGGGTCTGAGAATTACAGCTTCGCGTATAATGACAAATTGCACAACTTCTACTACTATTTGTAGCAGTGATGTGTAAAAGTGCGCACAGAGCATAAACACACCGATGCGAGTGACTATAACTCACTGAAAACGGATAGTCATGCCTTGGAATTATTCAGTACTGAACTGGAAAATTGGAGCAAAAAGCGCTGTACTAAGTAAACATTCGAAAGCAAGTAGGGCGGAGACAAGTTAGGGAATCCAGGTAGCTGTTCCCACAAGAGACAATCATCAAGGAGATGTTTCTTCTTGAGGGATTGGCAAAGCCACTAAGGCAAGAGCTCGTCGGAATGGCCACGAATATCGGACTGACACTGAAAAGAGCCGGAGGTGCATGTGATGCACTAATCCGAGTTAATCTTCTAATCAAGAGAAGATTTTGACGAGATTTTCGTTCGAGTTGGAACAGGCTATCAAGCGACAGGATTGTTTGAAGTCTTACGTCGAGCACTTGACTTTTTATCGCACTTGAAAAAAGTGGCATGTACCAATTACAAGCTTATTTCATAACTTGTGAGGAGCACACAAACCATGTCGTGATAAGGCTGTTACGATCTGAACGTGACGTGCAACAACAATGGAGGGGAAAACAAAACCGGATGAACATGTCCATCACATGGATCGTTCAGTATTTGCACAATGGAATTGAATTTCCGAAAGTCACGACGTATCCCTGATGGAATAAAGCGATCGAGCAATTAAATTGAACCCCGAAAGAACGGCTCTGCTGATTAGAACGAACTTGTCTCAGGGGTGGTGAGAGTCAGACAGACAAACCGTTCGTGGTTGTCAATAAAGGAACTGGTGGGTGAGAAGGGACAATCGACATCACAGAGACAATAGTTGCGTGTGTTGCATCAGATCGTTGGACAGTCCAGCAACGTGGTCAGAGATACGGTGGTCCGACAAAGGATGAGCAGTCCGATTTAAGTTAGTCAGGGAGATCAACACAGGTAAATTCAATCCGATGTATTGTCACAGGCACTTTTGATTCAGTTGGGGATCCGTGCTGAAGTGAAGCGAGATATACGCATAATGGTGTTGGTCGTATCAGCCTGAACCTTGGGAGGAAATGAAAATGGGGTGAGAATAATAGACGCTGATGAGTGCCAAAGTTAGATAAAACGGTATCCACCATTGGAAAAATTTGAAGGGAAGATGGCGGAATGAACCGAAGTAAGGAAGGATTTGTGTTGGCTGGCCTGATAAACAGGGATTTGCTGGGGTAGACGACACATGACGGCTTCAGGCGTACGCAATACACGAAGCGGTGCAAGTGGCCATCACTGGCGGTGGGAGTGCTGTCACTTGCTTCGCACTGAGCAATAGTACATCAGTAGACGTAGGGCCAGGGCAAGAGTAGTTTCATAATTTTTTGCAAGTTGAAGAGTTAGTCGATGTGGTAGCAAGCAGGGAGGTTAGTTGGGGGACTGGTTGGTAGGTGCAAGTGCAGGATGAAGTAGACGAGCAGTGGTGGTTACAAATTCACATCAATGAAAATGCGTTGTGCAAATCGGTACTAATATCAAGAGGAACACCAGACTAATGAGGAATGGTTGAGCGTTAATTTCCTAGATAATGAACAGGGATGGCAGACTATCTGGAGCTGGCAGCTCCAAGTAGCGGCAGAAAAACAACCAATAGGCGCTGGGTGTGAATATTAGTACTCGGTGTACTATGAAGTTTACATTTCTGAGTAGGCGACATTCCCGGGAATGAAAGGGACAAGCATGTGTGTTATGTCTAGCTGAAGAAATGGACTTGATGTGGTTCAACCCTAGCAATGATGAACACTTGAGAGCTTCGCATATCTATGCTATCCATGAGCCTCTATATGCATCTTCAGGCTACCCTATGCATATTATATTAACAGACGCAAGCGCAGTATTCCTCATCTCGTATTTTGTGGCGCAGTTAAATAAATGACAGTCAGGAAGGGCCCAGCTGAGTAGATGCATTTGGACAACAAAATTATCCTTTATGGATATCCTGAATTTAATGCCAGGCCCAAAACCACCCGCGATGAACGAGGTAGTCATGCCACCAGAGTGAAGGATGGTGTACAAACGTACCACGCCGCAACGCAACGAAGTGACACTCCAGAATGTTGCATTTCTTTGGTAGAGAACTGGAGAATCAAGAATAGAGGCAAAGAAAATTGTGTTGATCAATAAAAGTGGAATGAAAACATATCGGGAAATGAAGAAGCACCGGGGCTTTCTAGGAATCAGATCGTCATGTTGTTCATACTGAGGATAGAGTATGGTCCGAATAAGGTATTAACTATGAAGAAATCGATGACACATGAACATTGTTGCTGGACTCTATGGAGTCTATCACTCTTCAACCATATGAATGAGTGCCCATTGCCTTTTGAAGGATGAACTGATAACTGAACCATATGTTTAAGCCATCAGTAAAGGTGGAGTTTCGAGTGCCTGGCGATAAACTTACAGAAATGATAAATAGAACGGGGTCGGTGATTGGTCCCTTAAAGACACTAGTTGTAGTCCGGAATCCTGAGAAAATAAATAAATCATTCCGTACTCGAAAGGGGTGGTCAGATAAAGACTTCAGCCAAACGGGAGCAGGGGCCTTTGGTGCCAGTGCTCTTCAAGCATCTCGCAAAAGGTTGGCATATTACGGCATTTAAATAATCAAAAAAAAATCAAAAAAAATTTTGGCAGCAACTAACACTCATCATCCCTTGCTTGCGATTTACAGTAGCCGAGACGCGCTTGATAGGAAGTCCAAGGTGAATGATGAAACCCACTCCTCACTTTGTCCCAGCATATAAAATAGTTATTCTGGCCGTGTACCAAGATTTGAGTTAATATGCAGCGAAAACCATAAAAACCACCAGGCCAAGGATTACATCGAAAACAGTGTTATTAATGAAAAACAAATAATTGGGACAAACTTCAAATGTGACTCTACTTAATGGTGGGCATGAGTATAAAATACGTAGCCCTGAATAAGCGAAGGGTAATCATGCAATTTAGCAAGTAAAAACAAAAACTGAGTGATTATGGAAGAGGCAACTGCTAAAACTCATGAGTTCGTATGAAAAAAGTTTGGTTACAAAGAAAACGAGAAATAAACGAATGAGCCAGTCTTTTGCGAGTCTACTGACAAGCGAAGTGTGCCTAATTCAAATGCGTGGTTTGTAACGCAGTTGAAACTGGACTGTAGCTACTTGCACGTCTATCACATGACCCTATATATGTCTCTCCCTCTCTCTCCCTATTGCAGGTACCACGGACGAGTCACCACGAGCCCCGGACAGGGAAGAGTAGCCCGCTTGTACAACCCCGTGATTGACCTAGACCTAACTCTGTACAGCATCACCCCCGACTTCCGGTTTCGGTTGAATACACGTGTGTTGTTGCCACGCTCTGGTCATCTTTCCTGTGTCACCCGACCTGTGCAAATGTGTGCTGTTTTACCGTGTGAATTTAATAATACCAATCTCTATATCTGCACATTTCAGAAGCGACGTGTGCCGTCACTACATTCTCTCAAGCGCCGAATACCGCTCACTTCCTGACATCCCCTGCTACAAGTTTATGTTCACTCCCAAACGTCATGATGGCTCTACTCTGAGAAGGCCCGTAGGTGGTCTCGTAACAAACCCTGTGACAGAGGCGAGCTAGTTTTGTGCGACACAACTAGTCCGCGCTGCACAACCACAAGCCTGTGGAGAAGAAGCAGTGAATATACATGTCGACAAAAGTCACAAACTATGTTAAAACAACTGCATACCCGGGATTGCTGAAATTTTACATAAGTTTACGCATCTTTTCAGCATCTGGCACACCTTAAGAGCTCCCTTACAAATCCGATGTTCTTCGCTTGTGACTATGAAAAAAAGTGACAGTCATACATAGCTCCCCCGTCGATGGATTTCGCGGGCGGTCGATTCCGCGGTTTAGTGCATTGTTCGCAAACTGGCAGGCTTCCCAGTCGCACCATCAGAAGCGAAGTTCTGCAGACTTCTAGTGAACCGGAAAATCATCCTTAAATATAGGATGCATCTTGCAAATTAGACTATGTTCCTGGGGCTCAAATGTACCGCAGTTAGTTTATTTGACTCATCATGGTTGTACGCCCTTCGAACCAAGTACAGTGCCCCCAAAGTGCGTCGCAGGATGCCCCCACTATTACCGAACCCGTTTTTCACATATTTAGTTTTCTTGTTTTTGGTGATGACCTAGCATGTTTAAACCCACGTGCCCAAGCCTCCTCCCTTTTCAAATTATCCCAAAAAGAGTGGACACAGTAGATTATCTGCATCGTGTGCAATCAGGTCAGCGATAAACTTCGCGACAGGCGGCTCAACATCAGTCCGACATCTAATATTTTGAACAGTCCAACAAGTGTAACTGACCGAGTCTGCTGCACAAAACTGGTGGGCTGGGTTATGAGTACCTTTTTAAGGGGAGCACGGCGTCTGAAACTTTATGTGGCTAAATTCCGAGGTAAGCGACATCAAACCTCAGCGAAGAATCTGGAAACACAGGACCTCGCATTTCTCCGATCTGAAATAGGAGGAATATAGATAATGGTCAAGGTACCGAAGGTATCATTAAGCCATCCTTTCCAGATTTTTCTATCCCGAGGCTTGATTCCTGTACCACAACGGACATTTTCACCATGCAAAGTGACACTCCAGAATGTTGCATTTCTTTGGTAGAGAACTGGAGAATCAAGAATAGAGGCAAAGAAAATTGTGTTGATCAATAAAAGTGGAATGAAAACATATCGGGAAATGAAGAAGCACCGGGGCTTTCTAGGAATCAGATCGTCATGTTGTTCATACTGAGGATAGAGTATGGTCCGAATAAGGTATTAACTATGAAGAAATCGATGACACATGAACATTGTTGCTGGACTCTATGGAGTCTATCACTCTTCAACCATATGAATGAGTGCCCATTGCCTTTTGAAGGATGAACTGATAACTGAACCATATGTTTAAGCCATCAGTAAAGGTGGAGTTTCGAGTGCCTGGCGATAAACTTACAGAAATGATAAATAGAACGGGGTCGGTGATTGGTCCCTTAAAGACACTAGTTGTAGTCCGGAATCCTGAGAAAATAAATAAATCATTCCGTACTCGAAAGGGGTGGTCAGATAAAGACTTCAGCCAAACGGGAGCAGGGGCCTTTGGTGCCAGTGCTCTTCAAGCATCTCGCAAAAGGTTGGCATATTACGGCATTTAAATAATCAAAAAAAAATCAAAAAAAATTTTGGCAGCAACTAACACTCATCATCCCTTGCTTGCGATTTACAGTAGCCGAGACGCGCTTGATAGGAAGTCCAAGGTGAATGATGAAACCCACTCCTCACTTTGTCCCAGCATATAAAATAGTTATTCTGGCCGTGTACCAAGATTTGAGTTAATATGCAGCGAAAACCATAAAAACCACCAGGCCAAGGATTACATCGAAAACAGTGTTATTAATGAAAAACAAATAATTGGGACAAACTTCAAATGTGACTCTACTTAATGGTGGGCATGAGTATAAAATACGTAGCCCTGAATAAGCGAAGGGTAATCATGCAATTTAGCAAGTAAAAACAAAAACTGAGTGATTATGGAAGAGGCAACTGCTAAAACTCATGAGTTCGTATGAAAAAAGTTTGGTTACAAAGAAAACGAGAAATAAACGAATGAGCCAGTCTTTTGCGAGTCTACTGACAAGCGGTGCCTGCCTAATTCAAATGCGTGGTTTGTAACGCAGTTGAAACTGGACTGTAGCTACTTGCACGTCTATCACATGACCCTATATATGTCTCTCCCTCTCTCTCCCTATTGCAGGTACCACGGACGAGTCACCACGAGCCCCGGACAGGGAAGAGTAGCCCGCTTGTACAACCCCGTGATTGACCTAGACCTAACTCTGTACAGCATCACCCCCGACTTCCGGTTTCGGTTGAATACACGTGTGTTGTTGCCACGCTCTGGTCATCTTTCCTGTGTCACCCGACCTGTGCAAATGTGTGCTGTTTTACCGTGTGAATTTAATAATACCAATCTCTATATCTGCACATTTCAGAAGCGACGTGTGCCGTCACTACATTCTCTCAAGCGCCGAATACCGCTCACTTCCTGACATCCCCTGCTACAAGTTTATGTTCACTCCCAAACGTCATGATGGCTCTACTCTGAGAAGGCCCGTAGGTGGTCTCGTAACAAACCCTGTGACAGAGGAGAGCTAGTTTTGTGCGACACAACTAGTCCGCGCTGCACAACCACAAGCCTGTGGAGAAGAAGCAGTGAATATACATGTCGACAAAAGTCACAAACTATGTTAAAACAACTGCATACCCGGGATTGCTGAAATTTTACATAAGTTTACGCATCTTTTCAGCATCTGGCACACCTTAAGAGCTCCCTTACAAATCCGATGTTCTTCGCTTGTGACTATGAAAAAAAGTGACAGTCATACATAGCTCCCCCGTCGATGGATTTCGCGGGCGGTCGATTCCGCGGTTTAGTGCATTGTTCGCAAACTGGCAGGCTTCCCAGTCGCACCATCAGAAGCGAAGTTCTGCAGACTTCTAGTGAACCGGAAAATCATCCTTAAATATAGGATGCATCTTGCAAATTAGACTATGTTCCTGGGGCTCAAATGTACCGCAGTTAGTTTATTTGACTCATCATGGTTGTACGCCCTTCGAACCAAGTACAGTGCCCCCAAAGTGCGTCGCAGGATGCCCCCACTATTACCGAACCCGTTTTTCACATATTTAGTTTTCTTGTTTTTGGTGATGACCTAGCATGTTTAAACCCACGTGCCCAAGCCTCCTCCCTTTTCAAATTATCCCAAAAAGAGTGGACACAGTAGATTATCTGCATCGTGTGCAATCAGGTCAGCGATAAACTTCGCGACAGGCGGCTCAACATCAGTCCGACATCTAATATTTTGAACAGTCCAACAAGTGTAACTGACCGAGTCTGCTGCACAAAACTGGTGGGCTGGGTTATGAGTACCTTTTTAAGGGGAGCACGGCGTCTGAAACTTTATGTGGCTAAATTCCGAGGTAAGCGACATCAAACCTCAGCGAAGAATCTGGAAACACAGGACCTCGCATTTCTCCGATCTGAAATAGGAGGAATATAGATAATGGTCAAGGTACCGAAGGTATCATTAAGCCATCCTTTCCAGATTTTTCTATCCCGAGGCTTGATTCCTGTACCACAACGGACATTTTCACCATGCAGGCTATATATCAGCTTTTTAACAAAAAGTGGGCTGCACATCAACATTCACCGGTTAAAGTCACAAACCTTCCCGCCCGTAATGGTAGATCTACCGGTGCTGAATACTTTATTCTGAAGCAGTCCGCTTCTCAGTATCAGAAAAGTCTACGCGCCTCTTGCAATGGCTTTCAACTCAAGTTAAGATTTTGCGTCTAGAAGTCTTACCATTGAAGTCGTGTCACCCAGATCACCCCTGAAACTTGGCGCCCATTTTATACGGTGGTGCACTCCAGGAATCACCGCATCGGATACCCCTCTACTAACGGCCTGGCATCAAGAGTGATATCCGCCTGCCCTAGATAGCCATAGACACACATGCATTACACGTAGGTGTATAAACAGATACACAGATATTATAAAAAAGAAGTTCGACCCTGCTGTTCAGAACTCTCGTTCACTGTTTGTGCCTGTACACTCCAGTGTAAAATGACAAAAATATTTCGAAGATGTAGCGCCAGAAAGATGGAAGCTGATTTGGAATATATTGAGGTAACCCGTCAGCGAACCCCAATCCCAATTTAACGGACTTCAATCCGATCTATTCGATTGTTGGCGCGATCCTCTCAGCATATTTTCTGAATAGCAGCCAACATAACTTATGTTTTAATAAGGAAGCAAAGTAAGACAGCCTTAAGCTTACAGACTGGAATACAGCTCATTAAAATACCTCCGTATATAGTTTGCTGTGTCTGCCGAAGCTGAGAACGGGGTGAAGCGGAAGGAGACAACGTGGAACCACCCTACTTACGGAACCCTCATTGGTGAGGTAAGCATTGTTTACGTCTTCTTCAAGTATCGAGAAAAAAATAGCGTACTGCCCATCATTTCTCAAGTCTCTGCCGCCACTTATGCACTTGACTGCTGTTTGGTTTCGAAAGCAAACACTATCCTAACTTCTTCGTGGCAATCAACTTTACGGTGGAAGAATGCATGGTCATTTGATCTCCTACTGGGTAGCTCGAACACGTCATTATTCAAATCATTCAAGTCTAATTCACGATTCGGCATCCCGACTATTCACTAGTCTTACAGTAAACATCACAGTGCATCGGCCTACGAGGCCAACTGCCGCTTGCGGGCTGGGTCCATTTTGCGAGACGGCATATTTGACCATATGATCGGGCTCAAGACATCCAACGAAGCTTTTGTTAGTTTTCGGATCACGTCGTCTCCCATTCCACTTATTATACCCAAAGTTGCAATATTGTAGACCATAGCCACAACTATTTGTGCATGAGGTGCACTCTACTGTTGAGGTTATTAATATCATTTGGTGGCCATTGGTCAGTTGATTAATTGGCCTATTATTTGACGAAGCATGTGCATCTTAATTCGCAATCTTGTTGTACATACTAACTGCTGAAATGCGTATTTCCAAGAGCTTCAGTAACCCAGCAATAGAAGTCCATCTGATACTCTGCAAGGCCAGTCTATCCAAGCTGAGTTGGCCACTATAGCTGCTTTACTGTGTGTCCATGGGATTAGCTCATCGTTTCTACCACGTTGCAAAAGAAGCGTTCACTCTCTCTGCATCCTTAAGTTGGGCGACGCCACCAGCAAATGCCTCCATGCGCTTAAATTGGCCCCCAAAATTTCAAATTAGCAAGGCCTGAACAGAAATGTGGGGGCACCTAAGGAGTACCCTCAGTTTTTTTATAATATCCTATTGTAACACAGATGTAGAGCCGACGGTACATAGACCTCAGATGACCATTTCTCATAGCCCTTATAATAACGTAAGACGTACTCACACGGACTGAGCAACATCACGTGGCTTGGTTGCCACAAGTGTAGCGGTTAACGGCCCTGAGAGGTCTCTACTGTAAAGATCAATCATCGTAAGTCAGATGTAATGTCACAAGAAGAACAATCCAAGGAAAACGTTGACTCAGTTTACAAGAGTAGGCTCCTCAAGTCCACATTCCTTTGACAGACCTCATCAAGAGAAGAAGCTTCACATTTCCTGTTATTTCGGGCCTCCAGTGATTGCAACTTCAGTGGTGTGAATAGATAAGCCCAGTATTTGAAGCTAAATTTTTAATTCACGTTGGGAATCGGCGCCAGTCAATAATATTCAACCAAGAGTCGCAACAGCGGTCGCTCAGCGAAAATGCCGCTGGCTGTTTGCACAACAAAATCATTTTTGCCGAAACAATAGATTTTTCGGAGTTGTGACGTTAACAGAGAGTTGGTTTAATCCATTTGCGCCTTCCGGTGACACGCTGCACGTGGCATTTTGTTTAAGTGAGCGAAATTTCGAGGTCACGGACCATCGCCGATTTGCGTTTTGTTATCGGTATACGCGACCTAAAACACGTAATCGTATTTCAGCATGACTTGGCGTTCTTCGGTGTTCTTTAAGAAGAAAAAGATCTACAGAATATCTATCTAAGATCTAAGGAATAACTATCCAAATTGTGTGCATCTATGAACATTCCAAAACTACGCATCGCTAGGTGGACTAGGATCAGGTGAACCCACCATGAGGCAGAAAACTGGAGCAGTTATGGGTATACTTATTCACGATAGTTATTCCGTGCGACGGTTTCTAGAAGGATGAAGACAAATGAATTGCATAGAACTCAACGTAAGATTCAAAGAGCTTGGAACAGCTTTCAAATCATCACTGCAGACGGAGTTTTGGGTAACACAGTAGCTAGGTTATTTGATAAATTATTCCACCGGTAAATTAAAGGCGGCTGTGAAATGCGGTGCAAAACTGCCAGAGAATAACAGCTTCTTGAAGACCATGTACATATCCTTAATACATATTTTGGACTGCTCCATGACCTAACAGATAGCGTTAGTGAAATTATGCTGATTGGAAACACGTTTGTTGCTGAGGAGAACCACATTCTAAAAACTGTTGCGGGAGGTAAGCAGCTGTGAAACTGCTTATCGCATATGTGTTCACTTACTTGAATTGTGTAACGTACTTGATGGTTAATTTGGGGATAACCGGGGACCTTCAGTTGGAATCTGTCAAGGCAGTAGCCAATATTATACACGAACGGATGGAGTCACCTTTTCCCTAGTTGGTCCAACTCTTTGCGAGAAGTCTCTCGGTGGTGACAGATGTTTGTGGACAGCATGTTCTGGTCGTGAAAACCATTTAGATCAATCAGGGAGGGATCTCTGTCCATACCCTGCCCACTTTCTTTCTTTGTACTCAACGTCTTGAATGATCCAATAGTTACGACTCATTATACGTGCGTGCTGCATTCCAGGCCAACCCTCAGGAAGTAAAGCCACATGCAGAAAAGGAAGGTATGCTGTGTGACGTTTTGTACCTTCATTTTACTTCCATTATAACACTACGTATTTCATCAATTGCATAAACGTTTTTTGTTTAAATACGAAAAACTACAAAAACGCGCACTTGTACAATTTCACATGATGCAAGCGTGGTCACGTGCATCGACGCCGCTGGCTATTCGCACAATGAGATTGATTTCTCGAAATCTACGGCATTTTCAGACTTGCCACTTCATAGTGTAGAATGTCTATGTATAAGGTACATGCTCCTGTATTATTGAAAATCCTTTACTATGGCGATTTGTTTAAGTGAACAAAATCTGCAGGTGAATAAACACCGCCGACTTTGAATACCTTAACGGATGAAAAAAATCGCGAATTGTGGAAAAGGTTGACTCACATACAATGAACGTAACTTTCAGGTATTTTTCCACCGGAACAGACTTCCTCAACATTCTAACTTATTGGGTAGCCAGACCACTACAGCCGTGCCTTAACTGCTTTAGGTCTAACAATCGAGTCGCTATGACGTTCAAGCATGTGGCAAACTGAACAAGTGCACCCACGCAGAGCACTCCTACAGGGCGCCTGCTAATGTAAGTTTAATTCTGAGGAATTCCCGAAAGTTTTCTTCGGGCGCCTTTTCTCAAATGGAGCTTCCTATTCCCTAGCAAACTGAACAAGTGCACCCACGCAGAGCACTCCTACAGGGCGCCTGCTAATGTAAGTTTAATTCTGAGGAATTCCCGAAAGTTTTCTTCGGGCGCCTTTTCTCAAATGGAGCTTCACTATTCTCTACACTTTTGACAGTAGACCGGTGGTTTCCATCAATCAGATCAGGCTGAAGGCTATCTACAAATGCAAATTTCAGCCAGGTAAACAAAGCTATGAAGAAGAAGCAACAGCTATGTAACGATTGAGTCCATCAACGGGAGTTACCAGGCACATACGGAGCCGGTGTATTCTTCCGACCAGCTGCCTCTGATGAGCGAACACTTCTACACCAAAAGCTGCTCCGTCTCTGGCCTCATTTACAAGGCGCAGCCCCTCTCTACTCGTGTTCAAAAGGTTACCTGTTCTAGTAAGCATTGCTTCGTCAGTTGGAATATGGGTGATAGAGCAGCGTATTGAAACCAGTGAGCAAGCAAAAACGTTGCTAAAAATTCGGCTAGGTGTTGTATGCACCATCGGGTATCACAGTGATGCAACCACCATAGCATTGAGAGTTGACGCTATTTGTGTTTTTCCCTACGGAAAAAGATTCACCCGATTGTGCAACCCGGAGACGGACAAGTTTACTATCCGCCACAACAGCCCAACTTCCCCTGTAGCCCTATTTTCTAGGTTCCTCTGTAATGAACCTCACCTCGTAGTGCTGGCATGGATTATATTGTAAACGGACCAAGCTTGCATTCAGATTTTACACGCAGCGCGTGCTCCCTTGTCACCCTGTTAGCAAGCTTAACAAGTTCTTGGTTGCTAGGCTCTTAAGCGTACTTCCAGCCATATCCTGTCTTATTCAGCCGCTTGAGGTCACCACCCTAGTTGTGATTAACTTGACGTAAATTTTACTTTATTATTAGAGTACGTCCCATCTGACACCTCAAACTCACCTTACCTTACTAGTCTTGTCCTTTTCCTTCCTCTTCCCGAGCTTCGACCCCAACGTGCTTAGAATCCAAAGGGGCCACTTATCGAAGCCAAAAGCCTATGATCCTTCATCGGCTTTGTTCTACCTCAATGGACCTCCATGACCAACAAAAAATACCGCTGCTCATAGAGCTGTACCTCCCTAGACCGATATTCGAACATGAGGGCCACTGATAGGGTGTTAAGAAACCGAAGCACGTCAGACCAGTGATGGCACGGTGCTTCCATACCCAATGCCCGCAACTATTCCCTTCGGACTATTGACTGTGATGTCATTTTCGCACCTCCGTTCACCTGCTACTACGAACAATGTTCATTTAGCGTTGGCCGCCCTTGGAGTGACTTCGATGTAACCGGCCGACCCCTCATTCTGACATCATCCTGAATTTGCGGCTACATTATGCCCATTTCACTTGTCCGGCGATTCTTCTCACGGTGTTCGTTTGGCCTTACGCAGCAGGACTGCCTCCCATTTACAGTTAACTCTTACATCAGATTTCTCTCTGACAGTGACACCAGTGAGTCTAATTAGTTTCACAGTAGATTATATTTTTGAGACGTAGCTCGTCGTTTTTCGCCAATTTGAACTTCTCCATGTCTTTATCTTCACTTGTACTTTCCGTGACCCTGACCATTTGCTGATCCGCCTAAGGTTACTCGCAGCCAACAACTGTTTCTCAGTTTTAGTTCGTGTCAACCAGCTTCATCATTGGACTTGCAGCACCTCATGCCCCATTACTATGGGTTTTCATTGTTTTCCAGTTTACAATTACTTAGCACGTTTATTTTTTGTCTGTTTCGTCTTACCATCCCTTTGTGTCACTGCCCACCACATTCACGTTTCAACGGCTGACTATGCATCAGATGGTATGCTCCCTACCAGTTGGAAAATAAATCTACTATTATTCTGAAGAATCTAGCGAATGTGATCACCTCTTCCTTGACGACTTTTTATAGCGGTTGCTACAGGGGTCAGAGTTTAACGGCTACACTTCCGCTTAATTGCTCCCGCGATCAATTACACATCTGCACCTACTATCCCCATCCTATTTCGCCCGCCTCATAATCACCCGTCGACACTTTGACACGAGTACGACCTCGACGAACAACATATCAACAACATGTCAACTCCTGTTCCGTGATCTTTCAAAGGAGGCTATGTGGTTTCCCATTATTGCTTTCACGTTTCACTCATTGTAACTACATATAAAACGACAAAACATGGACAGCCACGCACGCACCATGCGCATGTCAGAACACAGGCCTTCTCAACGCACTGGCACAGCCCGCCTAAATTGCACCTCGCGTCGGCCCTTGGATCTAGCCTAAGCAAATATCAGGCCACGGAAAATGAGGGACGAATGTGGTGATAATATCGCCGGGAGAACACTCCCTGCGTCCGACCTCTCCTCGCTCAACCTCGCCAGGAACCTTATAAACTGATAAGTCTCCCCAATTTTGTGCGCTTCGTTTTTTTACGTTATATTGATATTCATGTAAAACTAACTTTGTAATCCACTTAAGCGTATTACTGAAAACTTACTGACCTCTTACCTCTGGTATTCGAGCTGAAAGTTTATTTACTAGAGCACTGATAGAGGCGGCCATAGCATTCCCACATATCTGCTTCACTCCCACCCCCAACGAATTTTTCGAAAGTAGCTAAGAAGCTTCTAGTTCACTTCCTGGAAAGACTAGCATATCACGTCTCACTCACGTCCTTCCAAAAAGATCACGCGTTTGAGATATACTTGCTACCGGACACACTCGGTTGAACAGCTATGGACGATGGATAATATTTGAATGTAACTATGATACATTTTAACACGGCTTTTAGTCGACGAGATTATTACAAACTACCTAAAACTTTTGCGAGTATGGGTTTGGCGAAAGTTTTCATTTTCACTCAGTCCTTCGTGGGAGACGTTGAAAGTCAAAGGAATCGACCAATACACGAGATCATAGCCGACGCTAGGTGGCGTTGGAGAACCAAACAAGTTGCAGGCGACCGGAAGGTGTTGCAGTTGGGCCCACGATGATTTTGGGAATTTTCCGTTAAAAAATGCTACCAGTCGATCCAGAGAGATCCATATTTTTGCCTACAGGAAGGCGCACACCTTATTCTTCTTATCTTCTCGATGGACATGAGTTACCGCCGAGCATTAACACTAGGGATCTTGGCATTCTACTCCTTACCGGGTTAAAGAAAATGACCATAGCAGTGACACATACAAAAAATCTTTGCACCTTTTGCGGGTGTTGAAGTGGAGCTTTGTTTGGACAGGGGAGTTGAGCAGTTTCGTATACCCAATCTTTATTCAATGAACGTTAGGAAAATGTCCTCCAGGGCACTTTTCTTAGTCCAGAGGCACGTCAGTTGGAAACAGTGTTCAGCATGGCTACAAGGATGAAACCGGAAATGCGGGCTGCGTCATCTTCAAATAGTTACAGAAGCCTGAAACAGTATATACGGAAATATGGGCGAATTGGGATTGATAAAAGTTTTGTCCCGCGTATCGTATGCCCAAGATATTACCCTCATCTTCCATTTCTGTTGAATGTGCAAGAGAGCGCTAATAAAGTGCCCGCCTCTTCAAGTTAGGTGTATTGCATCTGGATAACGCGCTACATGACTACAGCTTGGCATGCAGAGGCTGAAATATTTGGAATAAATCACTACATAAAGTGTTGACTATACTACAATGAAACATTTTAAATTGCTGCGTGACTCGTTTTGTAAACGCCACTCTGACGACGGTCGGTTAGCTTCTCTCTGTTCAATGAACCCGACGGGTGAGTTACTGATATCTGTCCTACCCCATTACTAACTTTTTTAATTTTACAGTCGTTGGAGTGTACAGAGCAACTGTGCCCTTCTTCTCCTAACACATCTACTTCCGATTCCGGCGGCCAATAAAAGTATGGATCCTGCACCCATAGTAAACCCTGAGCAAGTTCGAACAGTTTCCAAAAAAACTGCACCCTCCTGGGAGATCTTAAGGTTTCGAATGAATATCGTCAAACGCCAAATCTTTGTGAAAGTATTTTCTCATCTAAACCTATGTCTTGCATGGACTTCCAAATACTCTATGGGGCCTACGTCAGACCGCTCCTGGAGTACGCCAACCAAGTTGTCTACTCAGGACGTACGAAAGACGTTACCCTCATCGAGCGTGTCCAGCGGGCCGCCACTAGAATGGTTGCCGGCCTCAAATCCGTGGACTACGAAACGCGTCTCGCGATGCTTGATCTCTTTCCCCTGGAGTACCGTCGCCTCCGAGGGGACCTAATTCTTACCTACGCCCTGTTTGAACAAAGCTTGGCAAACAGGTTTTTTACCGTTGACCCAGCAAACACCCGGCGGGGACATAGTAAGAAAATCTTCAAGCTCAGGGCACACACATCCGTTAGACAAAACTTTTTTTCATTTCGGGTAGTAGCTGCGTGGAATGACCTTCCTCCGGCGGTTGTACATGCTCCTTCTCGAACCCAATTTAAAGCACTATTAGACATTTATTTATGCGAATCCTCGCGCTAGCGAGCATTCTGCCCCGCGCTGAGAACATAAAGAGCAGTGCTACACCCTTTTTTCACTTGTGCCTTTCAGGTGAACGACAGCCACTGACCGACAAGAACAAAACCGACCCGGGAAACTTGGGCAAAAGCCTCGATCCTGTGTATCAATCCGTGAATCCGTGAATCCGTGTCTTTAGGTAAACTTCGGGTGCGTTTATAAGGGTCGCCAATCACTGGAGTGTGAACACGGCAGACCTCAGGCTATCAGTGAAGGAAAAATGCGAGCGACATCAAAAAGGCATGATGCGGATTCGCGAGTGTGAGAATGTCAGACAGTGGATGACAGATTCAGCACAAATGATCGTGCTAAACATAAAACTAAACAGCTTTAATCTGAATGTGCTGACCATTGCAAAATTCGGTTGACCTTGGGCGTTGGGTCATGCGTCGAAGCCAGCTAGAAGTGAAGGCCGCAACTTAGTGTAGAGTAAAATGAGGCAGTTTGCCACCGAGATATTGATTACGTTGTACTTATTCTGAAAGGTGTCGTGAGTTTGTTCCGAAGAAGCCCGGGAATATCATTATTACCACAGCTTTTCGATTTTTCATTTTTGTGGTCGACGGGGAGTTCATGTAATATTACGGAGCATATGCTCCGTAGGATTTCAACAACAAATAGAGCCTTAATTTGGTTCATATGCACTGTAATATGCACGCTATGGAAGCACCACGGGACAGTGTTTCTCTGAAGGCAGGTGTTCACGACAATTTCTGTGGATGGAAAACAGAAACGAAGCTCATGAGCCAAAGCCCAGTAAGCAAGGTTGTACATCACCAATACTTACATATGAATCAATCAAAATGACAGACACCGTATACTACATGCACTACAACAGCGTCTTCAGGTGTTTGTTCCAGTCGCACTCCGTCTTTGCCTGAGGTGTAACGTTTTTTGAAGTATAATCCCTGGTGACTTACACGGTGTCTACATGCATGTGATGAGTGTTTTTGACAAATCAGTGATAACTAAAGTGCCACTCAGCGACAGTGTATAACTATACAGTCGAAGATGTATTTATCGTTCAGGTTCAATCTTTATGGGGCGAACTAACGAGAAATTGTTTGCGATGTTGTGGTAATAGCACCACCAGTCGAAGAATCTATCAATGATTCACCATTATCTAGTTGAAACCGATACGTCACTCGGAAACAAATTATTTTCGGTCAGAACTTGTAAGAAGGATACCTGATCACGCACCGAAGTACATCAGCTTACGCCGAAGGTTTGGCGTTGGAAAGTTGAGGCTTCAAGAGTCTTCACGCAAACCTGAATCGGGCTTTCGCCAAGGGAAATCCTTCTAGGGAATCAGGGTAGCAGGAACCGCTAGTGTGTAACAATTTGAGTGAAAACTGCGCCAGTAATCTTCCAGCAGTTCATGGACAGAATGCTGTGTGATGTAGTTGTGGTTGCCGCATACCATGATGGCATAATGGTCCTGGGATATACTAAAGAAGCTCTTTCATTCCGGTTGGACTTCGTCAATCGGCGGACAAATGACTACGCATCTCCATTAAAGAAAGAAGATGTGAGTTCCCCTTGAGTTTTATGGAGTACCTTGGTTTCGTTATCGACAAAAATGACCGTTGATCCGACCCGTCAAATATTGATGCAATTGTGGGAATGCCTCTCCGTCGAACATTGCTGAACTGGTCGTTTTGGGGGTTGATTCATCATCAACTATAAAAACACGACTCAACCGATGACTTGTTCAGGTAGGTAGATGACTACGCACTGGAGGCGCACTGGTGCGTTAATATCTGGGTGACAGTTCGCTTTCCATTGGGGAGATCGGAGGGTATCTACGCAGCCTTGCAGCATCCCAGCCCTCGCGCTTCCTTCTGGTGGCATGGAAGTTGGGTACCGAAAGGGTCATATAGCTGAACGATTTTTTCTATGCATTGAAGGCAATACCTTGGATTCATGAGCGTCACTGGGGACTTGACTGGGCCATGTCTGACAATCTATAACCATTGATGTGTCCCTTCCCGGAGTCCCCATCAAAGGAGATGGCAATGACCGGCACAGATGAGTTTGCTGGTGTTGGTTTTTATACCTCCCCATCAGGTCATTGACCTTGCCTGCATCGTTTCCACCCTTCGCGTGGTTGTGCTGTTCCAGGAAGTCGATCGACGGGTATACGTAACATGTGCCCAAGGCAGTGCAACCAATGGAGTGTGATCAGTTCATCCATCTCTAGATGGCTCAGCAATTAAGGCGCGAACTTATTGACCGGAAGGCTGGTGGTTCAACCCCGTCCTCCACATCTTGACTGCTTCTGTCTTGGGCAACTTGGCAATATTTCGTCCCTTGTGTTTCGGATGGCATGGCAGCTGGGTACCGAATAATGCAACTGGACTGTTTATTGTTTCGGAAACCATTCTATGTACTTCGGCATCACTGATCGGGTGCTCCCACCAGACTCGGACAACGCTCTGAAGATATCGGTGGTCAATCCGTGAATCCGTGAATCCGTGAATCCGTGAATCCGTGAATCCGTGAATCCGTGAATCCGTGAATCCGTGAATCCGTGAATCCGTGAATCCGTGAATCCGTGAAGTGCTTCCTATAACCTCTCGACTGAGCAGTGCTACACCCTTTTTTCACTTGTGCCTTTCAGGTGAACGACAGCCACTGACCGACAAGAACAAAACCGACCCGGGAAACTTGGGCAAAAGCCTCGATCCTGTGTATCAATCCGTGAATCCGTGAATCCGTGTCTTTAGGTAAACTTCGGGTGCGTTTATAAGGGTCGCCAATCACTGGAGTGTGAACACGGCAGACCTCAGGCTATCAGTGAAGGAAAAATGCGAGCGACATCAAAAAGGCATGATGCGGATTCGCGAGTGTGAGAATGTCAGACAGTGGATGACAGATTCAGCACAAATGATCGTGCTAAACATAAAACTAAACAGCTTTAATCTGAATGTGCTGACCATTGCAAAATTCGGTTGACCTTGGGCGTTGGGTCATGCGTCGAAGCCAGCTAGAAGTGAAGGCCGCAACTTAGTGTAGAGTAAAATGAGGCAGTTTGCCACCGAGATATTGATTACGTTGTACTTATTCTGAAAGGTGTCGTGAGTTTGTTCCGAAGAAGCCCGGGAATATCATTATTACCACAGCTTTTCGATTTTTCATTTTTGTGGTCGACGGGGAGTTCATGTAATATTACGGAGCATATGCTCCGTAGGATTTCAACAACAAATAGAGCCTTAATTTGGTTCATATGCACTGTAATATGCACGCTATGGAAGCACCACGGGACAGTGTTTCTCTGAAGGCAGGTGTTCACGACAATTTCTGTGGATGGAAAACAGAAACGAAGCTCATGAGCCAAAGCCCAGTAAGCAAGGTTGTACATCACCAATACTTACATATGAATCAATCAAAATGACAGACACCGTATACTACATGCACTACAACAGCGTCTTCAGGTGTTTGTTCCAGTCGCACTCCGTCTTTGCCTGAGGTGTAACGTTTTTTGAAGTATAATCCCTGGTGACTTACACGGTGTCTACATGCATGTGATGAGTGTTTTTGACAAATCAGTGATAACTAAAGTGCCACTCAGCGACAGTGTATAACTATACAGTCGAAGATGTATTTATCGTTCAGGTTCAATCTTTATGGGGCGAACTAACGAGAAATTGTTTGCGATGTTGTGGTAATAGCACCACCAGTCGAAGAATCTATCAATGATTCACCATTATCTAGTTGAAACCGATACGTCACTCGGAAACAAATTATTTTCGGTCAGAACTTGTAAGAAGGATACCTGATCACGCACCGAAGTACATCAGCTTACGCCGAAGGTTTGGCGTTGGAAAGTTGAGGCTTCAAGAGTCTTCACGCAAACCTGAATCGGGCTTTCGCCAAGGGAAATCCTTCTAGGGAATCAGGGTAGCAGGAACCGCTAGTGTGTAACAATTTGAGTGAAAACTGCGCCAGTAATCTTCCAGCAGTTCATGGACAGAATGCTGTGTGATGTAGTTGTGGTTGCCGCATACCATGATGGCATAATGGTCCTGGGATATACTAAAGAAGCTCTTTCATTCCGGTTGGACTTCGTCAATCGGCGGACAAATGACTACGCATCTCCATTAAAGAAAGAAGATGTGAGTTCCCCTTGAGTTTTATGGAGTACCTTGGTTTCGTTATCGACAAAAATGACCGTTGATCCGACCCGTCAAATATTGATGCAATTGTGGGAATGCCTCTCCGTCGAACATTGCTGAACTGGTCGTTTTGGGGGTTGATTCATCATCAACTATAAAAACACGACTCAACCGATGACTTGTTCAGGTAGGTAGATGACTACGCACTGGAGGCGCACTGGTGCGTTAATATCTGGGTGACAGTTCGCTTTCCATTGGGGAGATCGGAGGGTATCTACGCAGCCTTGCAGCATCCCAGCCCTCGCGCTTCCTTCTGGTGGCATGGAAGTTGGGTACCGAAAGGGTCATATAGCTGAACGATTTTTTCTATGCATTGAAGGCAATACCTTGGATTCATGAGCGTCACTGGGGACTTGACTGGGCCATGTCTGACAATCTATAACCATTGATGTGTCCCTTCCCGGAGTCCCCATCAAAGGAGATGGCAATGACCGGCACAGATGAGTTTGCTGGTGTTGGTTTTTATACCTCCCCATCAGGTCATTGACCTTGCCTGCATCGTTTCCACCCTTCGCGTGGTTGTGCTGTTCCAGGAAGTCGATCGACGGGTATACGTAACATGTGCCCAAGGCAGTGCAACCAATGGAGTGTGATCAGTTCATCCATCTCTAGATGGCTCAGCAATTAAGGCGCGAACTTATTGACCGGAAGGCTGGTGGTTCAACCCCGTCCTCCACATCTTGACTGCTTCTGTCTTGGGCAACTTGGCAATATTTCGTCCCTTGTGTTTCGGATGGCATGGCAGCTGGGTACCGAATAATGCAACTGGACTGTTTATTGTTTCGGAAACCATTCTATGTACTTCGGCATCACTGATCGGGTGCTCCCACCAGACTCGGACAACGCTCTGAAGATATCGGTGGTCAAACTGAAAGTCTTCTGACGTCCTTGGCGCGCAGCGGCCAAGTTTCTTACCCCTACAGTTATACATAGAACACTGCAGCATTGTAAAATCCACCCTTGACGGATAAGCTGATATCACGCCTACACCATCGGTGATGGAGGTTCATGAAAGCTGCTCTAGCTTTCCCGATCCGATTGAATCAATATCTTTGACGAGACTACCGCGACTGGTACAGCTGCCAAGGTAGACAAATTTGTCTAGTATCTCAACAATCTCATCCGCGAGCATAAGATTAGGGTACGAGCGAATCCAGTCTTACAGCAGCACTGCACACTTTGCATGTGCGAAGCGCATGCCAAACCATGAGGCAGCACTATTTACATTATTTAATATTTTGCAATATGACATTATTTCGAAGAAGAGCTGTCTCACAGTCGATATCTGCGAGTTGGCGTGCAGCGACTTAAAGAGCGTGAGGAATTTATGGAGGGCACTTTTGTCCCATAGACACTACCTGGTGGTTCACAAAGCCAGAGGCAGCTTGTAAGTTAGGGAAGACCACCATTGTTGGTTGCTGGGAGTTGTGTCGTTGTTCTAGACTCTGTCGGAGAGTGAAAATTTGATCGATGCACTCTTTTGCAGGATGAAACCCAGCTCGCTTTTTCACGAAACTGCCTGTTTGTGTAGTGGTGATGATGATGATGCAAAGAATAAGGCCAGAGAGCATCTTCAATGCCACAGGTGCCAGATTGATGCCACGGTGATTTTCGCACGTCGTCCGCGTACCCTTTTTGGAGACGAATAACTGTCGACGTGCCGCACTCTGCAGGCACTTTCTCTTCACTCCATACTCCACCATTGTGCTTTGTCAGATGGTCCACCACGGATTCTCCGCCATCCTTCAAGAGGAACAGGTCGTCCGATCCTAGTGCCTTCTCGCGTTCCAATCCGCATATTCCGCACATTATTCTTCCGACGTATGAACTGACCCCAGGAGTCGTGTTGCAAGAAACAATCTCTCCACTCAGTATTTTCCGGCTGAATTAACAGGTCATCTTTTCTGCCTATCGTTTCACTTGCCGTTGCTTTCTTGTGGTCAGTCGATCGTATCAATTATATAAGGCACAGCTTTTTCAGGTGGCGGAAATCCTCTCCACCTCCTGGGCTTTCGATGCCCACCAAATCTCGGTCTTTCGGTGGGCTCCTCACTATTTGGTGTTTAAACTATATGCTTGTGCCGATTTTGCCTGCTGGTATGAATTTTCTGACATCGATCAGCGATCTAGACGTATTAGACCTGGATGGTATCGGCAAAGTCGGACGAACAGCACCGAACGCCATTAGCATAGCTGCTTTCACATTTTGCCATGCTCCATCTACATGCTTGCTACCAGTACAGCTTTACTTTATTGTAGAGCATTGTTCAACTAGCTCAGATTGATATTATTGAGCTCTAGTATTTCTTCGAAGATGGTACACTGGCATGCTTTTTGCAGACTTGCAAAGGTCTGAAAGGAAACGAACTCTTAGGCCTGTTCGTAGTGTGGTGTGATTGGAATCAAGTTGTGTCACAGGAGGGACGGCAGTCTTGAATTGTGGCTCTTCATTGGTGACTCATGGCCACGTGATCTAAGTGGGTTCACGGCTGTTTTAAAGTTGATGGTTAAGTGATGTGAACGCTTATGCTAAAATTTCGTACTGGTTAGAAGCAGCTGATGATCAGCACACAACTGGAGAAGTTGCTCTCCGCGTCTGTGACAAGCAATGACTCCAAATCGACCCCCAAATGTGATTTCAAGGAGCTCAGGCGAACGAATTGAGATCACAGTGCCAGGATTTCATGCTTGACGAACGAACCCGGATAACTCTCGATAAAAACTATCCTTCTAAGCGTTACACCTGCAGTCTTTTGGAGCATTTGCCGACACTACGAACATCCATCGTTTTTATGTCTAGAAGCGTTAGGCTTGATTTTATGTGGATAACCGAACCCTGAAAAGATGACCAGCAACATGCCTTTATCTCTGGGGACGGGTGCGAATCTCGCGCTACATATTGCACGGATCATCGCTTCTGCATCATCGGACACACGGAGAGTGGAATACAAAAGAGATGAGTTTATCCTTGGCGTTATGAGAAGCATAACTCGTCTTGCATGCGTGCTTCACAGACACAGCGTAAATCAATTTTAAGGTAATACACGGTCTCGGCGAGCATTGCCTGTTTGTCGATGTGACATTGAGTACGAAAGTTGAAAGCTTCTATGTAGAAAGAATATCGTGAATTCAGTAAGGTGTTATTTTATCCATTGTTAATAGGTAGTGAGCTGTAGAAGACACGTCAGTCAAATAACTAATAATCAGACGACTCAGTAACGTTTGTGTGGTGGGAAGTGGTTTGGGAAGGACATCGGTGGGCAAAGAACTGTGCGGGCGCACAGTCTGACTGAGTGTTGGCGTTATCGACACTTCGGATTTTTGTGGTGGGATAGCCCTCAGTCCTTTTATGTCCTTTTTTCATTAAAAGGTTTTATTCAGGTACGACAGTGTACGGCAGTTAGGGCAGCGAAACATCAGTGTTGAAGGCTGATGTGCTGTCAGTGGTGATAACGATGTACAGCAGTGAAGCGCAAATGTTCTTTGTTGTTGTCAATGGTGGTAATTCTGTTTCTGGTAATTCTGACTTCGTCAGTCTTACTAATGTTACATAAAAGAGCTTGTCTTACACGCAAGTTTTGGTGTATTAAAATGACCGAGATTACGGTAGCGTCTTCAGACTACACCTAAAGGCTGAACAAATGTTCAGATCACTTTAAGAGAGTAACGTTGTTATTACCTCTCAAAACCATGATTCAGGTGTTAAGAATTGGTTGTTCTCCGTTGTTTCTACAGGAATCTGGTTGTTGCTAGGATTCTGAACCGCCAGGTTATGCAACCGATGTTTAATCTTTCAAACCACATAGTGAATTACACTGAACGCGAAGATAGCAGCACTACAGTGGTCGGTATCAACGCACTCGTGACTAAAGCTATGTGGTTACTTAGGACGTTACCCCATGTTCACTTTTTGAGTTGCGGTGGGCCTGAAGCCACCTCGAGGATTCGAACAATACAAACACTTGCTAAGCCCAAGAATATGACAATAACATCTGCGATCTGGACACTGAAAGACTTCCCTGGTCTAGGGAGACAACAAGGATTTACAAAGAGCGTGTGTGGCCCGTACTCCTTAATTGTCAATGAAAGCAAAAATACGACAAGAGTGGTCATAAACTGCAATTCGCCTGGCGCAGTCTCGGCGGCTTTGATCTGTGGGATCCACAAATCACAGTCACGGTCAGCAAGCTGTAAACTGAGGAGTTCCTCTTTATATACAACCCACGTTAATAATGATCTTTGGCTCAAGGAGTAGCAGGTGTTTCCGTCACTGTCGATAGCTTTGCTTCTTCTTCCAACGAACATTAAGGTGAATAACATAACTTAAACCTATCTCCCTTGGAAAACCTCAGGTGAAGTTTGCAGTTTCGATGAAGGAACAGTCGACTGACCGACTGCAGTCATTCTCGTTCTAGTTTACGGCAAAGGCCTATACTGGAGCCTCAATACTTGTTCCTACCAGACAAACTTCGGTAGCGGTTGACACTGACTATTTCAAGGAAGTAAAGTCATAACGGAATTTATTGGTATCAAGGCGATCAATGACTGGTAAATAGTTGTTTGTGTTATAGGATGTGAATTAGCATGTCAGTGATTGACTCCAGTTTAAATTGTCTACAATAAGTTTTTTCCGCCCCCTGAATTAGAGTTTCATGTGCCCTAATTTAAACGTAAGCATAAAACAAGTCAGAGAGTTCCTCATCTGATTTGAGTCCGCCGTACTCCAGAGTGACAGAGGTCGTCTTACTTATCGTTGGTCATTTGTCCACCTCACTTTTGGATGGCAACGTTCATCTTCTAGGACCCACTGATCGGAAATTCCCCAACGTTACCTCATTTTGCTGCCTCGCGTTTGGACTGTATTTTTTTACGATGGGCCGGCGACTTTCTTTTTATACTATCATATTGAGAGCGTTGTCCGTTCCTTTAAACCCTACGCAAAAATTCGTTGTACTTGTTCTTCGCCGAATTAGCTGCTCCCCTGTTCTATCCTTGTAGAAGGCTATAGGTTACTGAAGTACATCTCTAAGTTCATGAAATCTCCACGACTGTTGCAGTCAGCAAACACTTTGCCTGCGCAGTAATTTTGCCCACGTCATGTTAGATGACGATTAGGACTCTTTGTCCAATTCTATCCTCCTGAGGGGCGAGATGGCCCAAGTGGTAAGAGCGCGAATTTACTGACCGGAAGGTCAATGGTTCGAATCCGACCTCCGCCTCTCGACTTCCCCTGTCTAGGCTTGGGCAACCTGGCAGTATCCCAGCCCTCGTGCTTTCTTCGGGTGGCATGACAGCTAGGCACCGAAAGGGTGCTACAGCTGAACGTTTTCTTTCTATCCTCCTGCATGTATGGCTGTCATTCACTATCCTTGGTCGACGAAACTGTGAAAGCCTAAACCAACGCACCTTGGCACGATTTTTCATAACCGAACAACTAACGGACTGATTGAGATAATCAGTCTGCTCTACCGGTATTCAGCTTCACGTAAAAATAAGGTTGTAAATCGACCAGTGGTAAGATGGCCTCTATCACAGTAGACCTGAATAAAACGAGGGACCTTTTCACCCGTTTTCTGTATAGGTTTAGATCAAAATATCTGAAACTCGGATTCAGGGACTGGACGAACCTTGCCATCAACATTATATATAAATAAATAAAATAAATCGTTCAGCTGTAGCGCCCTTTCGGTGCCTAGCTGCCATGCCACCCGAAGGAAGCACGAGGGCTGGGATACTGTCAGGTTGCCCAAGCCTAGCTCGCCCCATTTTATATATATATATATATATATATATATGCGCCAACGTATCGCAGCTGGAGACTAGCCGGTTTCTATCACACCAACTGGTCGTGTGTGGTGCACCCTCTTCAGGAAGGGTAGGCGTAGCATGCATGTACAAAGGTTGCGAATGAGGCCCAGTTAAGCACAGGCTAAGGTTGTCGACATACCCCCATACGTGACAACAATTTAACTAATATTTCAAGTGTACGTTCTAGTCTGCGTCGTATGCGATGGGTGTAAAAAAAGAAAAGCTGCTCAAAAGTCATTACAGTCCATTCTGTGGCCCGCGAAGGGCCTAACCAGATGATGTAAACCTCTAGTTCGCAAAACCTAAGCTTATGAAGTACAAATGAAAGTGAAGTCACGTGAAATTGAAAGCGATAATTGTTGTTCAAATTCTCGACTGAGTAGTTTTTCTCTCTCTCATTTCAGCCCAATTGTTCACTTCTCCGTAATCTGCTCAACACTTTTCGCCATGTCTGACGAAGAGGAACAAGTGCAAACATCTTATTCACCAGCCGGTGAGTAGGCAGATTTATCATTTTCGCTCATAAAATTGAATTTCAGTGAAAGTCGGCGGTATGCGAGTTGCTCGGCACGTCCGTGAAACAGAGGAGAAACCGCTTCCGCGGTCTGAGTTGATGAAGCAGGCGGCGGAACACAATTCTGAGTATGTTTATCGTTTGTTTACACCAACTCCGTTCTGTTCAGGATTACGTCTGTGCGCGTTACGGATCTGCTAACCAAGGTAAATGCTGGACGTTTTTAATGTATGGTTTGTTTGTATGACAGCAAACCTTGTATCTATTCAAGAATTTGATCTTATTTTCAAGCCATAGCTTTAGACGCGTTGTCAGCTCTGCCCCGTGGTTGGAGACCATTGTGCATGGCGGCAATTCACTAAGAAATGTAGCTTGGACACATCCAGTGATAATTTTGTACGTCTGTACGAAATTTCTACTGCAGGCGCACCGGTTATCGACTCCATCTTCATTCACTTCGCTTTTGGTGGACGTAACTTGTGCATCGCTCATAGATGATGAGCGGATGGGTATGTTTGAAATCGATCCTCCTGGTGGCCTTGTGGAAGACGGCTAACTCTTAGTATGAGGGGATAGCGTGAGTATTTTAAAGCAACTGTTGCTTTCGAGCGTGCCATTGTTCTGCTTCATTTGATTTTTTCACTTATAATTATATGAACCTTCTTAAAATCTATACATTCGATTTCAGGAAGAACTTGACTTCCACGACAAAACCGTTAAATCCATGCATGATAAACCTCAGCCGAGCATCTCCAAACCTCATACGGATCCGACCCGCCGTATCATCCAGCAGCCAATGAAGTAGAAAAGGTCGCTCTTGATAAGATGTACTTTTTCGTTTTTTTGCACAATGCCTAAATACATTTGCTTGGAATTTCCGCACATCTACGGTTTTGTTATCATCACGAATCCCACGTAATTGGATTCCTCGGTCTGTTAGCAGGTGCGCTTTTGCAACGACTGTGTAAATTGCCATTATTGTATTCCACACTACTCTTCAGTTCCCACACCGAGTGGGAATGTTCCTCTTGGTTGACTGTTGATGCGGTAGGCAGGGGTGTAGGCCTTGGTGAGAGCCCTAGTCTTCGGATGGTGGGTATTTCACTCAACCATTCCGGGTGGATGATATAGTAGGGCGGTTGATCACGAGTATTTTTGTGTGTCTGAAATAAACAACCACTCTGATTCTTCATTTTCGGATTATCTGGATTTAGATCGCCGTGGCTTTTGGATCTGGTTGCAACTTCACCGCGATATAGGGAGATTAGTGGTGGACGGATTTTCCTTTCGACTGTTGTGAGGTTTGGTTCAATCGCGGAGTCTTCACAGGCACCGGGACACGTTGCTATCGTTCGTTCGGATTTGGCTTTCCTCACCGTCTTTCTGCTCTCTCGATAACCGTTCCTACAAGATACGAAGAAAGAAATCGTTCAAGGTTCAATATTAACAGGGCCTACCGTCGAATTACAGTATGAGAGTTCTCCAACCTTTCTGATTTCTTTTGGTGATTTCAATTCTCCAGTTCGAAGGATAGGTTTACAGCCTACCTTATTATGTTCGGTACTCGATTAGTTGTTTGATACTACTAAAAGCTGACTGCTCGAACGCACGACAAAATATCTGTAGTTGCTCTTCAATTCGCCTCTGCAATGTTATCATTAGACAAATCAGCCTTCAACGCTCACATCAATCGTTATAACACTTGACGTTTTTCTCGTTGAAATGTCCTCGGGTCTAAATAAACATCATGCGTAAGACTTGATGTGGATCTCAAGCTAGGACTTCGCAAGGAGCTTCCATATAGGATGCACCTAACTTCATGTTCCCCTGTTTATTCGAGTTTCTGAGTCACTCCTTCCACCGGTAGACGCGTTACATTTGGATACAGGTGCATACAGCATCTACACATGCGTATGGCGGCTGCATCGTTATACTTACTATTCCAAATCAAGAAACCCATCTTCCTTTGGTGACCTTTTAAAAGGTCGAGAATAAGGTTTAATTCTTTCGAGGGGCAACCGGACACAATGGGTTGATTAATAACACATTCCTCGAAGACTGAGGCTGTGTGATAATGACCCAATTCTTTTTTAAACAAATTACATCTAAGCGCTCACACAGAAGTCAGGAGACAGTTCTCTGTAATGCAATGTACTTGGCATAACAATGTGAGTAGTTCCCCTTATGAAGATTACGAAACGTTTGGGCGCTGTCTGTGCTACTCGCCTTCTAGGATGGGGACCGCGCAATCCCCACTGAGTCTGGTTGGAGAAGCTGCAAAACATGGCTGCCAGCCGATGTCAGTGGCGTTCTTGTTGTCAGTTTCTATCCGGATTGCCTGAATGAGTGTCTGGAGGTGTAGGCACCTCAGAATGTAGTAAACTAGCACCGAGTCCCCTCACCGTCTGCCTCTATTCTTTTCATACAATAGGAATTTCAAATAAATCATAGTTGCACGGCAGTGAAGCATCGGTGTTGAACACCGATGCTGTGCTGTCGACGATGATGGCGTCTGACTGAGTTCGTCTCATTCAAACAGGTATTGTTCTGGGGTTACTTAATAAGCGGCTCTGCTGTTTGCATTTTTAACACAGAAACTTTTTTGAAAACAAATTACATCTAAGCACCCCCACAGAAGTCAGGAGACAGTTCTCTGTAGTGGAATGTACTTGGCATAACAATGTGAAGAAAAGCTCATTGGATAGGAGGATCAAACTCCAGGTTCTGTCAACTGACACATCCCATGCTGTATTGTTAATGGTTGTTGTGCAGTTCATGGTTGTACAACAACCATTAACAATACAGCATGGGATGTGTCAGTTGACAGAACCTGGAGTTTGATCCTCCTATCCAATGAGCTTTTCTTCACATTGTTATGCCAAGTACATTCCACTACAGAGAACTGTCTCCTGACTTCTGTGGGGGTGCTTAGATGTAATTTGTTTTCAAAAAAGTTTCTGTGTTAAAAATGCAAACAGCAGAGCCGCTTATTAAGTAACCCCAGAACAATACCTGTTTGAATGAGACGAACTCAGTCAGACGCCATCATCGTCGACAGCACAGCATCGGTGTTCAACACCGATGCTTCACTGCCGTGCAACTATGATTTATTTGAAATTCCTATTGTATGAAAAGAATAGAGGCAGACGGTGAGGGGACTCGGTGCTAGTTTACTACATTCTGAGGTGCCTACACCTCCAGACACTCATTCAGGCAATCCGGATAGAAACTGACAACAAGAACGCCACTGACATCGGCTGGCAGCCATGTTTTGCAGCTTCTCCAACCAGACTCAGTGGGGATTGCGCGGTCCCCATCCTAGAAGGCGAGTAGCACAGACAGCGCCCAAACGTTTCGTAATCTTCATAAGGGGAACTACTAACAATGTTGCTAAAAAATCCGAAGAGTTTCAGCAACTAAGGCGAGTAGCACAGACAGCGCCCAAACGTTTCGTAATCTTCATAAGGGGAACTACTAACAATGTTGCTAAAAAATCCGAAGAGTTTTCAGCAACTTTGCGAGTAGTTTCGAATCGTAGTCTCGTTCATACCCCTCTGCCAGGTCAAGGATTGACCACCTCCGCTTCCGCCACTCTAAGTTGGGCATGGAAAACAACACTCTCTTTGGCAAACGATGATCTCAACTAACGCAGCTTTGGTTGCTGGACACATTCTTCAATGGAAGTACCCGTTGAACAACCGAAAACTTGTTTCTGACTGCCTCGTTACGGATTCGCTACGTTTTTTCCTTCCTCATCTGCAACCCTGATACTCTTATCCAGTCTTTTTTTATAAAAACCTAGCAACCATATGGAAACCTACAAACGCAGGGTTCCATTTGACCATCGGCCCAACGCGGCCTTTATATCTTCGGAAACGAAAAGTGGTCATGTAACAGGGCAAAATGCATTTCAAGAAGCATAATCCTCACAAAGCACACTACTCATGAGATTGCTAAAATTCACTGGGCATCCCACGACCGGTTTCACCCTTCTTAAGACTTCTCTGGTAGGCGTAGTTCCCGAGGTTCCATCAGACTACTCTACTTGAACGCCAAAATGTACGCAAGTGGCGGGAGACACTCATTTGCAAATTGCATTCAGTTAAGGAGTATCGTAAACCAGTGACTAGGTCGAGTATCTTTCTGCCAGTGTAATTTGCAGATAAATGTAGTCTGCTAGGGTCAATATTTTCTTTGGCAGTTGACAGTACTTATCAAGGGTAGTTATTTAGACGGCAAGCTCACTTGAACTAGCGTTCTACGAATAAAATTATTGTTTTCCCAGTGTCTTCATCATCGTCACTGACAGCATCATCAGAAAAGAACAATCACTCTTCGTGATCAACAACGTCCATCTCGTGAATCTCCAGAAAGACTCGAATTCGCAACCGACCGGCTAGTAGTTGCACCGTTCCGTCACTCGTGTCTGATCGATAGTGTGACTAAGTCGCACTCAAACGAAATATTGCGCATGAGTCTTCCATATGAAAAGCTGTCGCGTTCAAGTTTACCAAACATGGTACCGTGTGCGTAGCTGCTCTAAAACTACAGTGACGCCTGCATCCTCCAAAAAGTGTTCATTTGGACCCAGGAAGTGAGCTTGAAGGTTTCACGTTCTGCTCGTCCCACTTTGATTTGCGGTTCTCTAGACGAATCTCCGCGGCTAGACTCGCACTTTATAATATCTTGTTCACAAACGCCCAGCCGGCGCCCTTGATCCCTTGGTATACTGTATGTCAGCGTGAACCGGATAACATTTAATTGCCGATCTGCACTTTGGTTGAATTTCACCGGTGCATCCCATTCTCGATGACTCCCACAAGGAGGAATGCATTTTGGTGAACATTGCTTTTCGGTTGTCTTCCTCACTTTCCTGAAGTGTACTGCTTCGTGCAATAGACTGCAGGGATGCTTAATACATCAAGATACAGATTCCCATTGGACTGCAGTGTACAGTCGATCATCTGCTTATAGCTGTCAATCGCAAACCGTTCTTTTTGCGGTCAACACATTACTTTATTGCTTCCTTCAAGTTTTTGAAAGCATAACCGATAAATATAAACTTGTCTAAGAGCTCATTGTAGCTCATGACTAGACAGCGTCATGCATATTGCCTATCAATACCTACTGTTTCCACCGACTTCACAGAATCTTTCGACTCCATAGACACGTCTTTGCTCCTAACTGTACCTTACTAAGAAGTCTGCATACACACTCCGTGCTCCACGATCCTACACTTTCGAAAATTTAAGGGTTCACAACGGACGGTCTAAATGTTTCTCTTCACAACGAATATTCGAGTCTATCATCATAATCCTGATGAAACCATATGTGAAGGGATCCAGTGCCTTATTATTGAAATTACATCTATAGGAAGACTAGTAGTGTTGGACTATGCATCCTGATTAGTTAGTGATCAGCAACCAATACACAATTTCGGAGGTGATCTTTTGTTTCACAGTGTGTTATAATCTTAAATTTGCAAAGCATGGTTTCTGGTTTTCCATGTTCTTGGGTATCTTTCTGGAACTAGGGAGAGGAACTTGTGTTCGCTGGCCAGTTCAGTTATCTGGACAGCTCTATAGACCGCGCCTATACCGTTACAGAATTCGATGCACACATTAGCAAGGCGATGCATTCTAAAGTTGTATAGTCACCCTTATTGTTGGTGAAATTCACTGGTGTTTATTTAGTGAACTGATCATATATTCAATGTAACCAACGAATCATTTGCAACGGATGTTTCAGTGAATGGGTGTTCGTCAAATAAACTGCCAGGGAAAGCAGTTGAATAGGTTCTCAATCTAGAAGCGGTCACAGCATATCCAGGCTCGGATTGTGCGGTTGCTCCAACGCCGACGCTACATGGAAGTAGACGACCAGTTATTCAAGCCTCCGTAGGAACGTGCAGTCCACTTCCATGCGCAGGAAAATAAGGAACGACTTATGCATGTTTTCTGCCTGTCGATGAGAGCTTGATGGTGTAGGTGCTAAATATTGTTCAGCATCTGATCCAATCACGTCTGGCGATTCGGTCTTCGGTTTTGACATACAGGCAGACGTCTGGTGTAGATTGTTGCCTTTTGACGAACGTTATGTTAGTCGGGTGAGTAGGAAAACTGTCTAGCTTGGACTCCTGTCTAGGCTTGGGCAACCTGGCAGTATTCCAGCCCTCGTGCTGCCTTTGGGTGGCATGGCAGCTAGGCGCCGAAAGGGTGTTGCAGCTGAATGATTATCTTTTTATCTTTTATCTGTTTTGCAGTGGGACCAAATGTCTTTCAGAAAATGAGGAAGTGTGGCGGAGGTCACAAAAAACCTTGATGTTGAAGTAAACCTGAGTAGATCCCTCTCATGCCAAGAGAAATTTAGGCAGAGCTGTGCTGTCAGATGTCTTGGACGCTTTG